GAACGTGTCCCCATCAAAGCTCTCTCCTCTAAGATACTCGCATTCCACCCTCCTCAAAGACGTTCCGCCTCTCCGCGATCCGAATCGCGTAATCAACGCGCGTACCTATCCCAACATTCGATCTGTCGATTGTTCTTTCGATCGACGCCTGTTTCTTTCGAAGGAAACCGCCCGACCAATGCCGTTAAGGAAATAATCGACTTACAATTAGTTTTCTCGCCGCATGCGATCTCGTCGAGCCTCCATTCGAACGGCTTCGATGTCACCGACAGATAAAATAATTGCCCCGACGGCATCGAATTGTCCAGTCCTGTGCTAGACAATAACGGCCACAGTGAATGCTCTCGAAGCTACGAAACTCGGCCGATGCTTTCTTCCCGGTCGCTGAAACTTTTCATCGAGAGTAGCTCTCTTTGGTTAACCCAGACCAACTCGTCCAACTTTCCAACGGAGTTCGATTGCTCGATACATTATTGAGGCTCGTTTCCTTCGATTCATGAGTTCTTTAGAAAGCTGGCCAACCGCGTGTCCACGAAGGTAATCCTTCCTCCTATTCCGTGATTCTGCTCGAGCTCGAGGATCCGATAGAATCGTTTCGTCTCGAATCTTTCGGAGAGAAACTCGTTCGTCTACCCAAGTATTTTCAGCTGTTTTCAAAACGCGTGTTCCATTACCTTGGTCGAGAAACTGTTTCCCGGATAAGGACAAGTTAGGTGGACGGTATGCATTATTTGGCGCGCGATAAATTATTCGACGGATTGTGGGGCGGAAAGGTTGACGCGCCACGGCGTTGCTAAGCCGCGGTAAATTTTGTCGGCGAATCGGCAACGAAGTACCGTCTCTCTTTCGCTCTTGGACGCGACGAGACCGTGCGCGTTCTCTTTTGCACGCTCGATTTCGAAATATCCTTGCCTGGGTATAAAATAGAGTCTTACCGAACGAGCGCCGATTCAATTTTGACGTCGAGCCACGCGGTATGGGCAAGAAGGAGGAGAGAGACATTTTCAATTTTACCAAATAAACTGTACCCGCAGGAAAACTTTAGCTAGAACCGCCGTAAACATTTTCTCGGATTCGTTTCTCGCTCGGTGCTGCGCGACGATTAGACAAACAGAAAATAAAGAGAGTTTGAATTTTCCATCGAATTCGTCAACGGTTAAAAATACTTGATGCACAATTACACTGGTATCTTTTTCGCGCGTCTGTTCTCGGGCTTCGTATTTCTCCGGTAAAGAGGAAGCCTTCTTCGTAATCCTCTTGGTAGAGAAAGGCGCATCGTTTCCCTACGCTGGGATATTTAATTTTCGCTAAAAACTTTGGACTTCTGTTCTGAAAAGCCGTTGAATTCCGAGGTAACCAAAGTGTTTGGCGCTCGGCTTATTTCATCGTGGCACGGTAGTGGCTGCCATCTGTCCCTTTCCGTCCTTTCGCTCTCCAAGTAATTACCAGATAAGAGGCTTAAATGGATATGCTCGACGTCGAGAATCGATTCTCTGAGGTATTAGACGCTATTCAACTGTACGAAGAAGAGAAAAAGAAGTAGGAAGATGTACGTGACCGGTGACGAGGAAGTTGCAGTATCGGAAGACAATCGCCGTAGCTCTTTCGAAAGATACCAGGATGCTACGTTACCCTGTGCTTCTCTTTAAAGGCTTAACGTATCTGTGTTCGTTCAATGGGGCTAATGGGTAATCACCGATAAGAGGATTAAACCTCGATATTCGACATGAAGCATCTATTTCAGGGAATAATTGGTTTCCCGATGCTTCGTGATTCCGGCGATTTCGATGCAGTGCGTCTGCGAACGGATTAGAGAGCCTAATAGTTCGATAGATGAAATTTCCATCGACGGACAATGATCCTTCGAGCGGGTAAGGTGCGAAACATTTCGAGAGTTTCGACCTACGTGCATACGTACATACTTACTCGAGTCTGAAACTTCTTGCTTTCGTTCGAGTACGATGTATCGTGATTCGCGGCCCGACGGGAGCTAACGATTCAACGGCGATGTTTTACGATATCGGAGAACAACGAATCGCTTAACGAGAATGATCCGTGCGCGGAAAGTTTCCACCGTGAACGAGAAATCGGGGAAACATTTAGCCGGAAACTAATATACGTAACGGTATTCGGGGAGTAGATAAATTTTGCTAAAGTGGATATTCAAGACGATACGCGACCAGATAGGATAAACCGATAGAGAACGAGTGTGCCGACTGGAAAGCCGGATAAGGCGGAATTAATTTCTCGGTAATCGGCGATTAGACGTTCCCATGGAGCTGGGTAGGACGGGCAGTTCCTTGTCAAAATCTAAACTAAATCCTAATCGGATTAACGCCACCGGCTCGACGCCTCAGCAGCTTTCGCTTCCAAGTTTCCAGCAAGGCTCGACCTCCGTTCCTCTTAGCGCCGTGCTTCCTTCGAGTTCGCTAAAGAACCTACGAGATTCGCCGCTTCAAACTACGATATATGTATACATATGTATTAAGATCCCGGGAGAATTACTACTCTCTGAAGGGCTAATTTATCTCGATGGCCGAACACGCGTGTATCTAAGCTTCGAACATTTCCGAAATTCCTTATCGTTCTCGAGTGAAAAACTTAACGCGTTTCCTACAATATGTACGATAACGATTCTCGTCGTTCAAATTTTATACGCGTATATCGCTATCGTACGCGTATCTCGATCCGTGAATTTCCATTTTATGCGCCCTGAAATCAAACGGAGATCGTTTCGCTTGCAACGCACCGCGAAAAAACGCCTGCGATTCTGAATATGAAATCAGCGTAAAAAGAAGAAGACGATTCGTGAACGGTTGAAATTCGGAAAGAGCAGGATGCGAAGGCGAACGAAAATCTCGTTTCGCTTGATTTTCTCCTCGAATTCACGGCCGTGTTTCCATTCTTCTTTTCATCGAGGTTTCTCGCAGTTTGGAATTAACTCGGAACAGCGATCTCGTCAGACGTTGGTGTGCGTCGAGGCGTAAAACGAGCCATCGCGGCGTTCCGACGCCGATGGCCTCTCGACTATCTATTCGATTACTTCCCGCCCAAACCCTCCCGGACCCAGCGTCAGGATAAGCTCGGAACTTATTCGGGTATTAACCCTGGGAACGCGACCGTCTTCTTCGACGTCGTCGGAGATTTCCTTTCCTAGCAAATCTCTTTACAAGGACAAGTCCTGATCCCGCTTCGCGGTACATTGAAATTACTGCTTGGGAAGCGAGTCTGTGTGTTCTCCGTTTTCTTTTTAATTTTTATCAGCTCCCGTTTCGCGGCTTCGAATAACGATCAACGAAATCGTTCGTTCAATGTTGTCTCCTGATAAACGACACAAGAAACGTACGAAATTCTTCGAATTTCATAGCGTTTGCCGATCCGGGAATCGAACGAAAATCGAGCTTTCCTTTTCTTGGCTCTTCCCGCCGACACGATCGAGTCGAAACCCGTAGTGTTAGCTTCCGGCGGTCGTTGCCGACCGCGAATATTGCTTTCCAGATTGCGAATGTTCGTGCAAATACACGGAGTTTCTCGAAACGGTTAACATGACCCGGAAAGAGATTATTCTACACGGTGAAATATATTTTTTATACAGGTATTCGGTAGTTCGGTCGTTCCGATTCATAAATTCCTTTCCGAAAAACAACATTGTATCGGACTCGATAAAATGCCGAGAAAAATATGAAGGTAATAATAGAGGCGAAGTAGTTAAGAAGTTTGTAAAAGAGAGAAAGTTGAAAAAGTGAAAGTTTAACGAGGATAGAAATGAGCCGAATGACGAGTTAACTCGTAGTGGCCGGTTAACAGGTTCGGAAGAAATTCTCTTGGAATTCCGGCGCTGATCGATTCGACAAAGTTTGCAAAGAATCGTGTACGAAGCTGTTCCCGTTACCACGATCGGTTCGAGAGGTCAGATCACAGACGATACCAGACTTCCTTTGTTCTCCTCCCACGTCCTGACAGACTTTAGGAACGTCTTAAAGTTTCCGAAGCTACTTCTCCTGGACGGAATCGGCAGTCTCCGCTTTAACTCAGTTTAATAGCCGATCGATGAGTAAATCGGGTTAGGGGTTTCCTAAAAGGAGTTTGGGCTTCTGCTGGATGCTTCGAGCCCGAGACGCGTACTACTCCAGGGCCAGGCCACGATACCGTCCCGATCCCATTAACAGACAAAAGCAACGTCCTCCGGTACCGTCTTAGACGGCCAAGTATCAAGAAACCCGAGAACCGGAGTTTCCGGTCTCCGCGATCGAATTTTCGCTACCTTTGTTCGCTTTCCCGTGAAATTAACAAATCTCCGGGCTATCGCGGTCGCGACTCGGTTTCTCTTACGCTCCGAATATCTCGGACGGACTAAATTTATTCTTACTTTATTATATCTTGGACGATCGAATACGACTCGCGGGTAAAAATGTCCAATCGTTTTACCTCTTCGTACAGCTACTTTTCGGATGAAAATTGGCGGTGACCGGTAGCGCCGTGTGCAGCTTCGATTGGTCGTTACCAGAATTAATCCGAGCGGGACTTGATCAGCCTAGATCGGCAATCGAAGTTGCAATTAAGCCGGGAAACGAGTGGAGTAAATGCGCGGATTGATCGACCACGAGTCGCTGTACTCGAGCCACGAACGCTCCCTTTCTGTTTCCAAACCGATTGTCCAAAGGATCGTACTAGAGACCAACCGGCAATCTCTCTCTCCCTCTTTGGCCTCGATTCCTCGCGATCCATCCAAGTATCGCAATTCTCCCTAACTTTGATAAGTTTCCAAGCAGTTTCCCACCAAACTGTGCGACGAGTTGATCGAAAAGGAATTGGAAGGAGGGGACAGCAGATATCCGGACAGTGTTTTTAAATTTCATCGTCCACGAGATATCGGTTTAGGTATCTCGAGCGAAACTTATCTAATTCGACTTTGTTTCCAGCGTCGATATAATCGCGAGAACAAAGTTTCTTATTCCTTCTTCGGCGAGATTTCGCGCGAGCGAAATTCTTCTACTTACCGATGACGGTGAAGTTAACCTTGAGGTTCCTAGTTGGCGAATTTCGAAAGTCGACTCTGCACCTGTAAACGCCTTCGTCGCTCTCCTGTAGATCTCGAATCGTCAGTTGAGCAGGTGGACTCGACTTGAAAGATGCCCTGTCTCCCCAAAAATCCGAGGCGCTCCACAATTTCGCTTTTCTGAATCGTGAATTCCTCGCGTCGTAGCTGAAAATCAAGAAGAGTCGATCGATTAATATAGATCGGATTTGCGTAACTTCATAAATTACACGAATTCGATTAAAACTAATCGTCGTATGTATACTGCGTTTTCCCTCGTAAATAAACGTATAAATAAATAAATAAATGAAATTGTACGAAGCTCGAAGTTTGAAAAGGGAGAAGCGACGAAAGGGGTAATGCATCAAAGTAGACGCAGCTAGGTCTTATCCAACCTCGACCAATTTTTCACTCAACTTTCGCGATTCGTCATAGTCGCAGTTTCGTGCGAGTAGGTGGAGAAGTTTGCTCGCTTTCCCAGGCTCGAAACTCAATACAGAACGAGCGAACGGGAGTGCACTCGACCGAGAGAGTCAGATAACCTTTTACTTCTCGGGATCGAGTTCACCGAGGTGGCATTAGAAGAGGCGCAGAAGGATCGACGTTCAACTGTCTGACCAACGTGCTGCTAGTTCTTATTCTATCCGACCACCGATATACCGTCTGTATTATGTAAACCTTAGCTTAAGCAAAGTTGCTTATCGAGACGTCGTTCGTCTTCGGTTGCTGGCCATTCGCTTTTCTACCGAATAGACTAATAGAAATTCGATTGGCACCGTAACGATTCGCTTAGCTATAATCGAATCGATCGAACACGCGTTGGAAAATTGAATCGAGAGACAAAAGTCGGAAGGGTAAGACGTCGCACGGTCGATCGACGGAGACATCGTCAAACACCTCGAAGAAGTTTGAACGGTAGTGCTGGCTTGCTCGGTGCACTTTGTTCGCGGCCATAAGACAAATTGGATTGGTTTTTAACGAGCACGATGACTCGAGAGAGAGTTTCCCCGAGAGGCACGGTTCGTCGTCTTTCACCGTTGCCCTGCTCTGGTCTGCCTCTCTCGGATAGCGTCGCTCGTTTGCCTTCCATCCTCGCTGATTTACGAGAAATTAAAGAGGCATCGAGAGATCGCGTGACTCGCGGAAAACTCTTAATTACCGTACCTATCGTTTTTCTTCCTCTGTCGAGGGAAAGCGAAAAAACCGTGTAACGGATCGCGTGTCTACGTCGAGTCTGTTCCGAGTAACGCAGGGATTAGCTTCATCCACCGAAACGAGTTATTACGAACAATCCACCTTCGGGCGTTACCCAGGCTTCTCTCCAGTGTTTTTCTCTTTTACATTTTCGATCGATCTCTTTGCCAGATTTTCTACTCGAATAATCGTCGTATAGTACAACAACGATCGAAGCGAAAAATTACCGATCGTCAGTCTGTACGCGCGATAAACACGCGAGCGCGAAACATTCTAGATAAGGAAGGACAAAAGATGATTCGTAGAATAAGGGAAGGATCGCGGAAGAGAGTGGTCCCGCTAAAAGCGAAGACAGAGGAGAGAATGGTCTCCAAACAAATTAAAATAATTGCCACAACTCGTCAGAAGATTCGGACGGTTCCGTTAGCTGAAAGAACGTTTCCCATGAATACTTTAGTGTCGGTAAAACGAGTGTTCCGCGGAGAGACCGGGAAAGAGGTGAGAGGGGTTAAAAGACACAGGGGCCACGAAGGGGTCTTAACCACTCTCGGGACTCTTAAAAGGAGCTTAACTTCGCGCATAAAATTAAGGCATTGTAATTGCAGACGGCGCGGCGTGGCGCGGCTTGGCGCTGCT